CTGTGGGCTCACTCGGTGGTTGAGTTTTGGGAATCGCCTGTGGTCGCCCCACTGTGGGGAGGGGTGAGCCCAGTGCTTCTCGGTGGCCAGGCTGCCAGCTGGACCATGGGCGCTTGGCTGGACTGTGCTTACAGGGTGTCCAGCAGGGTCCCTGGGTTCTGCCCACTGGGTGCCAGCCACACCCCTCCCCCCACACGCGTGACAACGCGGGATCGCCAGGTGTCCTCCGGGAGGTCAGCCGCCATGTTAGCTTCTTTCCTTCCATCCCCCCGCCACCCCCTCCCCCCACTTCCCAGGGCTTTTCTCTTCCAGTTACAGTTATAACTTCAACGTGAGCTACGTTCCGGGTTCTACCTCGTGGCTGAGTAACAGCTCCTCGTGGCTTAACGACAGGATGTACGCGGCTCCCGCGCCTTCTCCCGTACATTCCGTGTTCTCTGGAGCGAGGTAATTTGTTTATGGGTTTAATTTTCTACGTGCTTAACAAATTCAAATCCAAACGCTTCCCCGTTATGTCAATCTCTTCTCCAAATCTTTAACTACACTGGGTATGTGGCTGTCTTCTTTACTAAAGAAATCCTCGCCCGAGGGTACTTCTATTGAGTTAGAGAGAGAGAGAGAGAGAGAGAGAGATCAGTCGGCTGGCTCCTGCACGCACCCTGACAGGATCGCCCACAGCCTGGGTGTGCGCCCCGACGGACCGGGCACTGAACCTGCCCCTTTGGTGAACGGGACGCGGCTCCAGCCCACGGGGTCGCCAGGGCTGCTGCTTGTCTTGGCGAGGAAGTTGCTCCTGAAGCCGCCTCTGCTCCGGTCGGGGTCCCAGGGCGGTCCCCAGGCCCATGTCCCCATCACTGTCCCCCCCGGGATTCCTTCCGAGCCTTTGTGTTGCGTCTCTTGAACCCTTTGCCTTGTGCATTTATTTTTCAAAAACCTCATTTGTGGGAGAGGACGTTCTCCAGCCGCGTCTCAGTAAAGGAGTTTGGGAGCCCCCCGCGCCCCCCCGACATTGCCTGTTCGAATGGCTTTATCTGCAAACTTACATGGTCGTCTGGCTGGGTGTAAGGTTGAGGTTGGAGGGGCAGGTCAGATATGCTCACGGGACTAACCTGTGCAGGTAAGAACACTGAAGTCTGGACAAAATGCACCCCCACCTGCACCCCAAACACGGTGCCCGAAAGCTCTGAGGGAACCCCCCGCCCCCCCCAGTGTGTGAGTGCTGTGCATCGGCCTCTGGTTTTTAATAGACTCAGGGAAAGGGTGTGACCAGGAAGACGGCCTGTCCGTCCCGACGACGGCGGCATCGCTCAGCCACACAGCAGGCTTTGCTAGGGTTAGAGCAGTGGTTCTCAACCTTCCTAACGCTGCGGCCCTTTAATACAGCTCCTCATGCTGTGGGGACCCCCAATGTCATTGTTACACATTGGACATCATTAAAGCCTAGTGATTCATCACAGAAACAATATGTAATTATATGTGTGTTTTCCGATGGTCTTAGGCGACCCCTGTGAAAGGGTCGTTCCATCCCCAAAGGGGTCGCGACCCACAGGTTGAGAACCTCTGGGTTAAAGGGAAGCGGCTGCAATGCCACCGGCAGCAGCTTCTGTTGCGGTTAACCCTCCCCTGAGACACTTCTCACTGCTGTTTAGAGCGAGTGGAAGGGGGAGAGACAGCGAGAGACGTCCAGGTGAGCAAGACACATCCATTGTTGCCGCCCCTACGGGTCCCGACTGGGGCCGGGGATCGAGTCTGCAGCCACGGCACGTGCCCTGGACCCAATCAAACCGGGACCCTTCAGTCTGCGGGCCGACGCGCTACCCACTGAGCCACACCGGCCAGGGCGGAAGGTTGTGGCTTTTAAATTTATTTTTAACTGAATTTATCGGGGTGACATTGGTTGATAAAGTTACATAGATTTCGGGTGTGCATTTCCATGTATGTCCTCTGCATGTCACACTGTGTGTTCACCCCAAGTCAAGCCTCCTCCCATCACCACTTACCCCTGGACCCTTGGCTGCCCCCCACCCCCACCTCTGGCCTGGGTCCTTGAGCCTCCTGGCTCCTTTGCTTCTTCTCGGGGGGAAGCTCACGGCCCTTCCGCAGGTTGACAGCACAGCCGGACGAAATCAGTGAGGGCAGAGCTAACGGATAGTGAGGGCGGACGGTGCGCGTGCCCAGGAGCTGCCGTAACGGATAGGATGGACATCACAGGAGCTAACGGATAGTGAGGGGTCCAAACGCAGCACCTCCGGGCAGCTACTCCCTGTGTGCCGGGGGCATCCGCCCAAAGGCCCGCGGGCAGGGACGTGCGGGGGAGGGGCCTCACTTCTTTTCGTTTCTGGGTTTGTGACGGAGGGATCTGGTTCCACTCATTTTGACACTTTAAAAAAATATATATAGTTTTTTCTTGATTTCAGAGGGGAAGGGAGAGGGAAAAGAGAGCTAGAAACATCCATGATGAGAGTGAGGGTGGACATCACAGGAGCTAACAGATAGTGAGGGTGGACATCACAGGAGCTAACGGATAGTGAGGGCGGACGGTGCGCGTGCCCAGGAGCTGCCGTAACGGATAGGATGGACATCACAGGAGCTAACGGATAGTGAGGGGTCCAAACGCAGCACCTCCGGGCAGCTACTCCCTGTGTGCCGGGGGCATCCGCCCAAAGGCCCGCGGGCAGGGACGTGCGGGGGAGGGGCCTCACTTCTTTTCGTTTCTGGGTTTGTGACGGAGGGATCTGGTTCCACTCATTTTGACACTTTAAAAAAATATATATAGTTTTTTCTTGATTTCAGAGGGGAAGGGAGAGGGAAAAGAGAGCTAGAAACATCCATGATGAGAGAGAGTCACTGATCAGCTGCCTCCTGCACGCCCCACACTGGGGATGGAGCCCACAACCCGGGCCTGCGCCCCGACCGGGAATCGAACCCTGACCTCCTGGTTCCCAGGTCGACGCTCACCCACTGAGCCCCGCCGGCCGGGCTGCTGGCCTATCTTTAAGGCCCGTGTTCTTATTTTGCTGTCACTTTACGAAAAGGGCCCTGGGTTCTCACTGAGGATGTGAGCGCCCCTCGGCTGACGGGCGCGTGGGTGGCATTTCTCGAACCGTCTCCCCGCACACGGGTCTCTGCGCTTCTCGGCCTGTTTCGGGCTCTGCCCTTCATGAATGCCAGGGGCAGCCCTGAAAGTGGGGCTCCATGCCAGCTGTTTTGTGAACACGTTACAGACACACCCGAAAATTTAGGCTGAAGTGAGGGACCCCAACAGCCAGCACAAGACAAAGAACAAACCGGTGCTGGACGCTGTCCACCTTGGCGGCCTCCACGAAGCTGCTGCCATCAACTCCGGGGGAGAGAACGGGGGTGGTGGGGGGTGGGGGGAGAACAGACACAGCCCCTCACCCCCGAGTGTGCTCCCCGAGAGGCGCAAAGGGGGTTCAGTGCAGGACAGGCCGCCCTTTCCCAGCGAGCGGGGAAGCCGGACACCCCTGTAGGAAGGAGAAGGGCGCACAGACCTTCCACGGACTCACCCCTCGGACAGCGCCCTCGTGACGTGGGGACCTACACGCCCCCGGAGACGGCGACGAGAACACGCAGGGGACCGGGGCTTGGCCGCGACTGCTCAGCTGCAACCCCAGCCACAGGCGGAGCATAACAAGGGGCAGAAGCGACAGAACGAGGCCCGACGA